AGTTCAATAGAAAGCTGTCCTAACATGCTATGATATCCTGATGAGTTTATGTACATATATCAACCCTATACGCATGTGGAAGCCCTACCCCCGGTGTGCTGAACTTGGAGATGGGCCTTTACAGAAGTAAGGAGGTTAAGTGAGGTCACAAGCGTGGGGTCCTGATCTGAGAGGGTTAGCATCCTGACAAAGGGAGACCCAGAGCGCTGGACTCTCTCCCCAGGAGGGCACAGGGGGTGGGCCCTGTGAGCATGCAGGGAGAAGGCTGCCATCTGCAAACAAGGAAGAGAGCCCTCACCGGGCCACCAATCTGCTGGCACCTCGTCCTTGGACTTCCCAGCTTCCAGAACTATGAGAGATAGGGTTTTATTGTTTAAACCTGCCACTATTTTGATGTAACAGCTAAGCTTACGAGGAAAGACTGTCTGTGTAAACTCTCTCAAGTATGGCGATGCATGAATCAGCAGAAGTGCACTTCCCTCTGCAAACCGGCGTGCATGTCCCATTGTATTTTAGCGTCTCTTTTCGTTCATCAGCCACCTGTTTTCTCTGCCTGTACTTAGCTCTGGAGTGGTTGTTTTCTTTGACACCAGTAACTCCATCAGATCTGACAAATGCAACAGTCATGAGTATGGAAAGTGCTGGTAAAAAGGAGGTCTATAATTAGGATGTGGATGGTGATATTTAAAACACACACACACACACATACACACACACACACACACACACAGTAAAAATATGTCAGAGGAACCCACAGAATACACAGATTCTCTGGCAGGCCATGGCTGTGACGGGAACCGTATCATGCACCATGTGAGATAGGCTGTGGCAGTTAGCAAGGCAGGGAGAAGAATGCCCGTAGCGATAGAGAGATCTGAGGGGGTGGCAGCGGCACCCGGGGGAGCTGAACATCACAGGATCCTCAGAGCTGAGATGTCCTCTCTTCCCTTTCTGACACGTCTGGCGCTGGGGCGTGTTCTGCTGGGTTGCTGCTGTCAGGCAGATGGCAGGCATGGCCTGGGCGTCACCCCCTGGGCATGTGCAGACAGCAAAAGAGCAGCCCCGACCTGCGGGGACAGAAGAAAGCCCTGCAGACAAAGGCGAGGCATCTTTGAACCTTTGGGGATCCAGCTAGCTGTGCCCGGGCAGGGCTGGGAGGCAGCTCTGCGGCTTGCTCAGCCGCATTCCCGAAGCCGGTGGAAGTAAGCTGGCTCTAGCTCACTGCGGGGCGGCCTCAGAGCCCCGCGCCCCAGGCCGGAGGCTTGTCATCCCTCTGCGGGTTATCCAAGAAACGCGCCCGAGGAACCCACGCCACCATTGTGTGGAAAAGCGTGGACGTGAGTGAGTCAGCTGTTGGGTTCTCAAAGTGAAAAAGGTCTGGAAGACCTCAGCCCATACACGTCACTTGTATATTCCTTTGCAAACACACACGATCGTGGTAGACAATAGAGGCTTGTCGGAGTGGAGAGGAGCTCTTTCAGAAAGAATAAAATAAAAATTGGAAGTAGTAAGGAAGCAGCGTGCACAGTTTAACTGGCAGCCTTTCCCCTCAGAGGAAATAAAACTCAGTGCAGCTAACCACGGGCATCGGCGTGGGTGCGCTAGAGCTGCCTTGGGTTATCGCGGGAGACGCAGGCGGCTGCTCAGACCCTGACAGGCTCTGCGTGGGAAGGGACTGCAGATGTCAGTGTTCCATTTGAGGCCCCTTTGCACCTCGGAGGCAGAGGTGAGGTGGCCTCTGCAGGCTGCAGAGCTGGCGAGGAGTCCCAGCTACCCACGGGCATCCACCGCCTAGCGGATCTCCCCACATGACAGGCTGTGCACATGTATGCGGGTGGGAGGCGGGAGGCGGGAGGCGGGAGGTGGGAGGGTACCTGCTTACAGAGCGCCCACTCGCACTGTGACTAAGAGACAAGATGCCTGGAACTCTGTACACTCACTCCTGTTAGTCACCAGGGTTGGTGAGGAAATGGACTTGGGAATGGCCTTTGTATCGAATGTGTTTGCTGATCATATACTATTCATGTGTCGTGTGTCTATATTCACACACACACACACACACACACACACACACACACGTGTTCATTTATGTATATCGTCCCGCGTCTGCGAGGGGTTGGTTCCAAGACCACCACGTATGCTCAGGTCCCTTATATAGAACGGCGTAGAGCAATGTGTACAGTCGGCATCTGTGGGTACAGAGGCACAGCTGTATACATCTGTGCCTCACACAGAGATCTGTGTGTATATGACAGAGTTCACATCAGCTCTCACACTCACATCACACATTGCTTGGTAACCTGCCTTTTACAGACGCATCGCCTCTTTCTGTGCCATCACATCGTCTCTGCGGCGTCGTTGTAAAAGACGGCGTAGGGTTCCTCCGTGTGGATCTGCGCTGGGTTCTTGGATCACGCGGGTGCGTTTCCTCAGGTGACCTCGTTGTAGCGGACAGTCAGGGCCTCTCTGTGGCCGCGCTGCGTGCAGAGCTGCCCAGAGGCTGAGGTGGGGCCTCACCGGGCCTCTCTGTGATGCTGACTGTGTGTGGTCGGGGAGCCCCATGACCGCAGGCCTAGGGTTGTCCCGGTACCGGTTTTTGTGGGTGTGTGTGTGTGTGTGTGTGTGTGTGGGAAGATGAAAGGGCCAGCGGAAGGGTTAGGATGCGGGTCTGAGGGCCACAGGAAGCACTGGCTCTAGGACCACTCAGGCCTGACTAAGAGCCCAGGCTACGTGTCTTCTCCTCTCTGGGCCTCGGTGTCCTCCTGTGTAAACGGAGTCTGTGGAGTAACCTTTAGGCGGCTGGGGTGGTGACACAAAGCCTATCAAATGTCTGGTCCAGCATGAGAGGTAGGGGGTAGGGGGTGCGAGAGGACTCCGCGCCGGCACCGCATTCTGGGAGGTGATCCAGGGCGCACAGAGGTGCTGCTCCTTGTTGGCTTTTTACGCCTCTGTCCCCTGATTGCCGCGGGTGGACCAAAATAGAGGAGGAAGAGCCGCCTCTGCCCTGTGCCCACAGCTGGCTTCTCGGCCATGTGGCCTGCAGCTGCGCGGGCCCGGGGCTCGGCTTCCTGCTCCGCTGTCACGCTCCGGAATTCCTGATTTTGCACTGGGACTCCCTGTTTTCACTTTGCGCCGGGCCCCACGGATGATTAGCCAGTAAGGTGACTGGGAGGGTGAAGTGAGAACTCACAAAGCGGTTAGCACAGGACTCCGGATGTTAGGGGGCCCAATAGTTATTAAGTGGATATGATTGTTTTCTTTTAGGAACGGAGACAACCATGGTAAGTGCATTATAGACATCATCTCATCACTAAAGCAGTGTGAGATAAATACATAACTAACCTCATTGTACAGATTTAAAAAACCAGGCCCTGAGATGTTAACCTCCTAAAAGCATACAGCTTACAAGAGATAAGTGCAGAGCTTAGGTTCAAACCCAAGTCCATTTCCCCAAAAGCCCAGGCCATTGACCTGCCCTGTTAAATAAATATTAGTCCCCTCCTTCCCTCCCTCCTCCCCTTTTCCTCCCTCCCCCCGCCTCCTCTCCCTCTCAGGCAACTTCTGTGAAACTCAGTGTTAAGTGTCCTTGACTCAGCAGCCAAGCCAAGGTTTGAGAGCCCCTCAGACCTGGGGGGCTTTAGCGTGAGGTCCCCCTCTCACCCTCAGGCCGGGCCTGCCTGTCACGTACCCAATCCGGCTCAGAATCACTGGCTCCAGTTCCGTTATCCGGCCAGATCCGACCAGCCCGGGGACAGTTCAGCTGGCCCCCTTTTATTCCTGATGCGCTGGTGATGAACACCCCCAGGGACACCCCCGAAACCACCGTGAGCATCAGCGGGAGATCCTTGGGGTCAGGTCCTGGGAAAGATGTGGGAGGCGCCTGTTTCCAGAGGGCTGAGGACGGGCCATCTGGCCTGCTGCAGGGGTCCCTGGCTTTCCTGCAGGGCCAGGCCGTGATCTGCTCTGCCCACTCCTTTCCCTGCCAAACGGAGAGGGAAGACCCATTGTGCCACCGTGCTGCTCCCGGGCTCACGCGCCGGGCGTGGCTGCTGAGCGGGAGTTCGCACTGGGGCGTTCCGTGTTTTGGAGAGCGGGATCGGAATTTTGAACCTGACCATGAGACTGCGTGTTGTTTCAAAGCAATTCCCCAAGTAGCTGTTTGCTCAATACGTTCGTAGTGTGAACAGGGACCTGGGGGAGGGGAGGAAGCCATCTGCTCTGGAACCGGCTTCCAATTACACGGCCACATCACTGAGAGTCAGAGGGAGGGCGGGCGTCCAGCAGAAAGCACTGTCTGGGCCGAAACCGGTTTGGCTCAGTGGTAGAGCATCGGTCTGCGGACTGAAAGGTCCCAGGTTCGATTCCGGTCAAGGGCATATACCTTGGTTTCGGGCACATCCATGGTGGGGGATATGCGAGAGGCAACTGGTCAATGTTTCTCTCTCATCGACGTTTCTAGCTCTCTATCTCTCTCCCTTCCTCTCTGTAAAAAATCAATAAAATATATTTAAAAAAAAAAAAAAAAAGCACTGTCTGGGGTGCCCAGCCCGCTCGCTCTGGCCCTGGCCGTCATACTGATCTGGAGACTCCAAGGCCAGGCCGTGGGGCCCAGGACGGGGGGAGGGGACAGCAGAGAAAGCCTGGGCCGAAAGAGGGGGGGGACTTTCTTGCCGCACCAGCATGCCAGCAGGTGATCTGAATTAAAAAGCGAACCTTGGGAGAAACGTCTCTCTTCCTGACAGCGTTGGCAATCCATACAGGTCTTGGCTTATATTTAATTTTCCGCATCCAGTGAAAAAGTTACATCCCTTAATAAATTAAGTGGGTGATTTCTATTTGCATTGGGATTCTTAAATCTATTTTCCTTAAAATACGGGGGGGGGGACGTTGTGTGTGTTTGGAATATGGATAGCCTGTCTCAATTTGCAAAGCATCTCTGGAGTTGTATTTTTTTCTTCTAAATCTGTGTGTGTGTCTGTTTCCTCTCTGGTTGCTGTTAGGCCTTCATGCAGCCTCACTTGCTGGGAAACGAGTTCACACATTTGGAGTTCCCGAGGAGAGTGCAGAGGAAGGAGCTGGGGAAGAAGATGCTCTACCGGGACTTCAACATGACCGGCTGGTAAGAGCCCCCTCCCTCCGCCCCCGCCGGGCGTGTAAATCAGCGCCGTAGCCGGCCACTTGCGGGTGTGGATCAGGAGGTGCCCGGACCCGGGCGACGCTGCCTCTGCTTTGTGCCTGGGCCCGGTTCCCTCGCCCCAGGGCTGGCTGGCCTGTCCGTTTCTCTGAGGTTCTCCTCAGGGACACCGGAGCCCACAAAGGTGACAGAGCTCCTCCCTTGCACAGAGCAAGCATTGGGGGCTTTTGAAACACATTGAACTTGGTCTGTTAGGTCCGGGGCTTGAAGGGCTGGTCAGAGGTTTATGGGGCCAGACATTACCCTTGGACTGAACCTTCTCTCTGACCTTTCCAAGTGGGCAAAGCTGCATAAACTACTTCACCCCAGTGAGCCCCGTTTACCATGGGTATAGGGAAAAGATGTATGCTCTTTGGAGGGTCATTGTAAAGACTAGAAGCAGTGAGGCACTCTCATTACTTCATCCCATCCAAATCGGAATACGAAATCTTGGCAGCGGGCGTCTTACTCTCCAAACACACCTTTCCAAGCACAAGACCGTTTCTGTGGTGGATCAGGCCAACGGTGACCGGGAACCTCATGGATTTCTTCACATGAGAAATAAATAGGCGGATAAAGCACTTACAAGGACGAGGGTGGTTGTAAGGGTTAAAGGAGAGAGCAGTGCCAGCACGGAGACAAATGGGTGAGGATTTGCCCTTAGGCCCAGTGTTCCTGACCAGTAAGCCTCTTGCCAGTCTGGAGGATGCCTGGAGAATGAGACAGGTGGCCCTCACCTCGCCGATCTCCAACTCAGGCGAAGCAGTAGATTCCGATAGCTCTTCCTCTTCGTTGGCCAAAACAGCTGTAACAGATGGCCACCGCCCAGTTCCCATGGCGATGACTTCTGGGCTGGCAATCTTCTCCGGGGGCGCACACTGTCTCTGAGGAGCCCTGGAGCTGCCAGGGGAGGGAAGGGCTGATCTCAGGGGCACTTCCTGTTGTGCTTTGCCATCCAGAAGGGAACCCTCACCAGGATCCACTCTTCTTCTTCTACAACAGGGCCAACAAATTATGGCCCAGAAGCCAAAGGTTACCCGCGGCCCCTAACATTATTTCTGCAAATAATGTTAGGGCAGCCATGCTTGGCTGTGCAGGTTAGATCTTTGGCTGCACTACATCAGGGTAGCTGAGTAGTTGCAACAACATATGGCCCACACAGCCTAGAGCATTTACTCCTAACCATGCGCCTATTAGTCAGAAAGGTCCGCTACATGTGCAGCTCTCCGTTTTGAGAGTTGGTGCCCCAGAGTCATCACCCTAACCCAGCGGTTTTCAGCTGGTGTGCCGCGAGAATTCTGAAAACACGCTCTGGCTGGCGGCTCGGTTGCACTGCTGTCCCATACACCACGCACTGCAGGCCGGTTCCCTGGCAGAGCACGTACCTATGGGAGGCCACCAATCGATGTTTCTCTCTCACATCTCCCTCCCTCTCCCTCGCTCCCTTCCCCCTACTCCTTCTCTCCCTTTCTTCCTCCTTTCCTCTCCCTCCTTCCCTCCTTCCCTCTCCCTCTCTCCCTCTCCCATTCTCCCTTCTCTTCTTTTCTCCCTCCCTCCCTCCCTTCATCCTTTCCTCCCTTCCTCTCCCTCTCTAAAACATATCCTCAAGTGAGGATCAAGTGGGGGAAAGACATGCAGTGCCTGACTATTTGGTCTGGAGCACTGACCTCTTTTCCCTTAGATTGGCAAATAAAAAAAAAAAGACAACAGCCAACACAATAGCTATCTGGTGTGAATAAATCAAAACTGTACCTATGTTTGGTCAGACTTGCAAAAAGAATACATATTTTAGTGTGCTGCAGAATTTTAGTAATTAGTTTATGTGTGCCATGAGTTAAAAAAAAAAAAAAAAAAAAAAAAAAAAAAAAAGATTGAAAATCACTGCCCTAAACCAACTGGGTGTCCTTTGTAAATTCATTTCTATCGTGTCAGCAAAATCAGCGCTTTTATGGAAAAGGTGAGGGCGACACTGGTTCGGAATAGCATGGCGGGGTTTGGCCTGGAATTTGCGGAATTTGGAACAATGAAAGGAAAGGCATCCCAGTCCAGAACTGCATGGCTGTAAATGCATCAATGAAAGAGTATTTCAATCTGAGACAGCGAGCAAAGTGGCCAGACAGAAAAGGGGCGTCTGGGAAACCCAGCTGATCTGGCATTGAGGGGACAGGGTGAGGGTGAGGGCGCCGGGCAGAGAGGTTTGGGGTTACCGCGGGAGGCAGTAGTTACTCTGCGTGTTTCTGAGAAGAAGATGAAAGCAATGCTTTGGGAAAGTGGTTCTAAGAGGAGCTTGAAGGGGACTGACTGGGAAAGGAAGCAGGTACCGATACCCAGAGGGGAAATCATAGAAATAGATGTGTGTGGGCCCGAGGGCCAAATGGAGGGATGGAAGCAGAAAATAGTCAAGAAAAAAAAAATGCACAAGAAGCCAGATCATCTTGGCCAGATAGAAGCATCCCATGTAAGAGGTGAGTCATTCATTATTTCAGTTATCTGTCTAACTTTGTCTCTTCACGGAGTCGATAAGCCCCCTGCGGTGGGGCCACTGGCCCGGTCCTGCTCCTGACACACAGCGGGCAGGAAGCTAGTACTGCTGGGTGACAGGAGACAGGGGTGTGATGGGCAGCGTGGAGGGGGACAGGTGGGGACAGGTGGCCATTGTGGACAGTCAGCGGGTGGAAGGGTAGGAATGAGGAGTTTGCATATGGAACATGTTGACCTTGAGACAAGGCTGTCTGCATGTTCCTTCTAGGCCAGCCAGGCAAAGGAGAGCTAAGCTGCCGACTCGAACTTGTTGAACTAATGGCTAGAGGTTACCTCTGTTTCATGTTTTTTTTTTTTAAATGTAGATTCTATCCAAGTTTATATGCTGTCTTTTATACACACACACTCACACACATACACACACACACACACTCTCTCACACACACACATACACACACACACACATACACACACACACACTCTCACACACACACACACTCACACACTCTCACACACATACACACACATACACACACACACTCACACTCACACACACTCACACACACACACACACTCACACACACACACACACACACACTCTCTCACACACACACACAGTGCTAGCGTGGCCCTCGGCACAGAAGCAGTCCGGAAACGGCATCACTGAGGGGTCAAGACTGGGAGTGGCTCCTCAGACTGGACCTGTGGACTCTGTCAGCGTCCTTCCCTCTCTGTGTGGCTTTGGCCGTGAGCAGAGGTGTACAGACATCTTTGCTCTGCTTCCTACCTGGGCTCACTTTTGATCTGAAAAATGATGTTTAAGCCAAAACCAGTTAGGCTCAGTGGGTAGAACGTCAGTCTACAGACTGAAAGGTCCCAGGTTCAATTCCGGTCAAGGGCATGTACCTTGGTTGCGGGCACATCCCTGGTGGGGGGTGTGCGGGAGGCAGCTGGTCGATGTTTCTAGCTCTCTATCCCTCTCCCTTTCTCTCTGTAAAAAATCAATAATATATATATATTATATATATAAAATGAAAATGATGTTTAAGGTAAAGGAGAGCTCTTTTCATCTCTGTTGGAAGACGCTGGGAAGTTTAAAGCCAGTTTAGACCACGGTGTACGTAAACTCCCTCCCCCAGCTCTGAGGAATTCCTTTGAAAACGTTTTAGACTCTAAGAGAAAACCTCAGATGTAGCTGTTACTTTTTAGGTTTTAAAAAAATGGGACCAAATTGGCTGGCTTTCTGAGCCGGCAGTTCCACGGTAAAGGAGATGAGGATCGGTAGCTTTTCCTCCCCCTCAGAGCTTGAGAGTGGAGTCGGCCCCTGAACAACACGGGTCTGAACTGCGCAGGCCCACGTACAGCAGGTTTTCCCAGGGGATACTCAGCGGGCCCTCTGCCTCCCCAGGTTCCTCATCCGCGAATGCCACTGGCTGCAGGTCGGAAACAGTTTGCAGCTGGGAGCCCGCAGGTGTGGAGGGCCGGCCGTGCATGGCTCGCTGCTGTGCTGACCTGCCAGGTGCGGAGTGGCTCCTTGTCCTCGTGCCCATTTTGCAGGTGGGCACATTGAGGCCCAGAGGGAGCAGGCTATTTCCTCAGCGCCCACCAGTGCATGAGCGTCAGCACAGGGATAGAACCCAGGTTTCCGGCACGGGTTCACGGCTCTTTCTGAACCAGAGCCCCTGTTAGCTTTCCTCCAGGGCAAGACACTGCATCATCATCCCCTTTCGAGCTGTGGCATGCATTTGAGCAGGGGACCTCTGTCCACCAGGGTTCAAGAGGGTGAGACGAAGCATCTGAGGAGCAGCATGTTGATCCTCGGGCAGTAAATTTTCTAGTCTCACTCTGACCCGGTAGAAAAGTTAGCCAGATTGAAACACGGTGCTTCACACACGCCACCAAGAACCCGCGTGTGGGTTTGGGTGCCATGGTGGAAAAGATCCCCAAAGAATAAGGTGACCAGATGTCCCACTTTTGGCGGGACAGTCCCGATTTTTAACAATCTGTCCCGCGTCCCACGGCCTTTTAAAGAAGTCCCAATTTGGGGACTTTTTTAAAAGGCCGTGGGACGCGGGACAGATTGTTAAAAATCGCCAAAAAGCGGGATGTCTGGTCACCTTACCACAGAACCAGCTCTCCGATGCCTAGGAGAACCGCCTGCTCTAGGAGAGGAGCATCCTGCCAGGCTCCCCGGCGTGCCTGCAGCGGGAGGAAGTGTAGGAGAGGATGTGGACGCCAGGAAGCCTTGTCTCATCGTCAAGGATGCCTCTGTTGCCTCCTGGCCTGCATCCTTTCCCTCCCGCCTTCTCTCTCTCAGGGTCTGTGGGCCCGCGTGGCAGGCCCAGGTTGTACAGAGGACAAAAGCCTATTGTCACCGGACCTTCCTGATGAGATCAGTCTCTTCCCTGCCTCCCCCACCTCCCTTCCCGCCGCTCCTCAGACAGTGTGCCCGGTGGTTTGATGTG